TGCTTATTCGTAAACTGCTGAACTATTTCGAAAACACATTGTAGTATGGGCCTAATTGTGGCTGTACTTACGAAGGACACGATATATTTTGTCGACAACCCTTTCGTCGAAACAAAAGATATGTCATAGTTCCCCAGTAAGGTCAGCAAACACTGTCTGTATAAAAAAGTACAGGTATTTGAATGTCGAATGAACCGTGGTTATTGGGTTATTTACAAAAAAATTGTACTGCAACGAAAAAAAAAATTTTACTGACCTGTAGTGTAGTCATATCAGAAATATATTCACTTAGAATTCGTAGGACAATCACCAGAAATAGCGAACTGATTATGAATCATTTAGAAAACTTAACGGGGCTCCTACAATGAAAAGGTAACGAGGATGGGCGTCGGCGCTACTTTAAAAGAGGAAAGGAGGACTGCGGGTGCATACCAAGGTAAATTTTTATAATAACAGAGTCTGATTTCGATTAGCGATCTTGCCTGTAAATCGTTTCCTATTTTGGTACTCAGCAAGTGATCATTTAGTATTTTGTTCCCCTTGTTACTGTTCGTCGATATTGCGTTGTTGAATTGTTGTGCTGTACTCTTGCTGGTGTGATTGTTCTTGAGTGCCTTTTTTATCAAGGTTGATAATGGACAATAAAAGGTCATATGCGACCATTTTAATTACGAATGCAGTGAATTTCATTCATGATGAGGTCAACAATAGTGTGGAGCAGTTCAACCCTATAATCGCAAAATACATTGGGGAGTAAGCGAGTAAATTATTGCAAGAAGAGGTCATACCATGGAAGTTGTACTGCAGCTGTAGTGAGCCACAATACCCAGCGGCCTGTCTATGTGATCCAAATACATTTGCGTTCTAAGCTTGGTCCAACCTCGCTTATCGCTAAGATGGAACAAAGACTCAGCTGATATAAAAATAACTAACAATTCGGATAACAATTCCAAAGAAAATGAATAGTTTTATGACGAATTCTGTCAAACACCTGACATGAACGACATTGATTTGGAGGTTGCTAAGAAAGAATCTCTAGGGAAACTTAGAAAAGTGACGATGAGATTTTGCAGATCGATCAAGTCAGGACTGTACTTTGTGGGGCCTTCATCGGAGGATAAGGTTGACAGCGTCTCGATTTGGTGAAGTTTGTAGAAGAAGCCAGACAACAAGCTGTAAAGTTCTAGTAAACTCCATCATATACTCAACAGAGTTTTCTAGAAAGGCGATAAAAAAGTCAATACAAAAATCATTGGACACCGCGGTTCAATCTTGTGGTTTGTTTATCAATCGCATACATCCATTTCTGGCAGCATCGCCTCCATTTACCTATTACAGTAGACAAGAAATGTACTTAATCCAGATATAAGCCTACCTGTTTATTGCTTTGCAAAAACTACCTAACTGTTTCCTCTTATTTTGACGGCATAAGATATTTTTATGACCCTCGTTCAATTGTTACCATGTACCACATCACCCTTGTAAACATAATTGTATTTATTGACATGAATAAATGAATTTGAATTAATTTACTAAACATATCAAATTATTTGAATACATGTTTGCTTAGTCGGAACGCATCGTCGCGTCGCGTCCCTTGGACTGGCAGGACGAAACAGTAGACGAATTTCGCCCAAAAACCGATTTGCACTTCACAGCTTACGTTTCATTTTTTTATTATTTCCAAATGAAACTCGTGCAGCGTGCTAAACTTTTTCGATTTTATCCACTAGTATCTTTTTAAAATATCAAGAAGTTGAGCACAAATAGTTAAGCATTTCAACCCACCACAATTCTTGCACAAAGACAAAATTTTGTAGAAAGCTTTGATAGCACCTTAGGCAATTATGTCCTGCTTATATCCAGAAAAATAACAAAAACTGCAAAAACACAAATTGAAGGTAACGGCGAAATGGGTACATCTCACGGGTCATGAAATTCAAATTAAAATGCAGGTATAAAATCTACCAAATTATCGTTCTCAAAAACATATTTCCTTGACATATCGATAATTTTAAAGTTCCACGCTAAATTCCCACTGGAGTGATATCCGAATTCATTCTTCCCTACTGCCGGCAGTTGCAGATAGTTGGCTCTTGGTGTCAAACCTATAGAGAAGGTACCGATTTTTGCATATCGTGAGCACATTATTCGTTGGATTTTCGTTACTTAAATTCCCTGTAATCACTGGAACCAGAAGCTTCTTAATAATAGAACGTGTTTCACTGATATCAAAGATGCAACATTTAGAATCACCTTCCCCCAACTCCCACTTTTTAAGCAGTACAATTTTTGATGTGGATAAGGAACCCCTGTAACGTCAAAAACGGAGTTACTTTTTCTTTTTTGCCTATAGCACTCTTGTCATTTGACTAAAACTACAAAGCTTTGGCATACTAGTAACCCCGTGTGGAAATTTCATAAAAATCCGAGCGGTAATTTCCAAGTTAGTGATGAGTGATATAGTTTTTCGTGATGTAGATGTCATATGACTTAAAAAAACATAACATCTCATTTTAGAAATTCTTCGCGATTACAATACTTCCTCGCCACTATCAGCGATTGCGATTATGAGTACCTATTTGCAGAACGACTTATCTATGCGATATTATATAAATTATCTGAATACGTCCTTTCTTAGTCGGTACATTGCGCCGCAACGCTTGGGTTGGCAGCACGAAACAGTAGACAAAATTCGTCCAAATCCCCACCGGGTGCTATGGAGCCATTTCTAAAGTGCTCCTATAGCATCCTGGGGAATTATCTTCTGAACATACTGTATGAATTACATTCAAAATTATTGAAAAATAGAGTGTCAGTTTCGAAGCAGCTGAACCCTTGTAAATGGCTTGAAACTCACTGCGTCGGAGCCGCCTTAATACACAGAAGAATAACACTAGTCTTCAAGTTTACTCAAACCCTTCTTGTATGTTTGACGTACTAATTTCCAGATTTTTCATACGATCGTCCCCACAATCCTCTTCCAGAAGCCCTATGCATGCGATTGATTTGTTTTGGTTTCACATGAACTTCCTTAGCAATAGCTTTTAAGAAAGCACACATTCCCGTATTATTTTTCTAAAGAAACCTTTCAACAGAAGAACGGCGCATCAAATGTCACCCTCTGCAGTCCGTGCCTGCCAGATCAAGCACCACAACCCCCTCCCTTGATTTGTTTTCTTTAAGATGACATTTCGATATAATTCAAGTCTTCGTCCCTCGTGTCCCCCTATCGATCTTTGTTGTAATGTCGTCTTGGGGGCGAAGCCTTGCACCCCCTCGGGGATGAAATGGAGTGTGTAAATTTAAATAGTATCGCGTTCGCTTCTCGCTCAGTTTGTTCAATTGATATCGGGTTTAAGCCGGAGTGCTGCGTTTAAACAGTATTTTTCAATTAGGGGCAAATCATAATCCTAATGGAGTTTCACGGGAACTGCCAGTTGCAGTCATTTGAAATTGAAGTTCCTGAATGAGATTACACGTGACGTTATCGATATATCGGAGATTTTGAACCTACCAAGTAGCTTCCAAGAATCATACATAGCTGTGATAAGCATTAATATAAATTACTGAAGCTACTGAAATAAATAAACTGTTACATGAGCTATTGTATAGGAAGGCACATATATCGGCATTGATGTATAATGTGGCATAAAGTCTTAGGTCATGGGGTCAGGTCAAGATTTTGGGTCTATACTTTGCCATACTTCACAGGGTTTGTCTGGAAACATTTTTTTTTTCATAGACGATTTTTATCATTATGTCCCATGTATTGTCATGGTGATCCACTATGAAAACCAAAAAACGTTCAGGCATAGGACATTGATAGATCAGTATATTATAATTAAGGCTTTTTAATTGCTGATGTATATACAGGGTGATATGCGAATATTTAAGGGTGTGAATCTACATGAAAAATCAATGTTAGTTTGCTTTATAAACTATGGTCCAAAAATGTTTCCTTGCAAAAACTCGAGGTGTTGAAGTTTTAGGAAAAAAATGGATATTGATTAATATCTTCAGAACCGCATCAGATATTTCACTCATATTTAGTGCATAGTGAAAGTTAATAAAGCTGAATATTTTTCAATGCAATTTTTTTTCCTTTAACAGTGGTGTACGTACGGGTGTTGATTTCGATATTTTAACGTATGGGCAGGAATAACTAGCAATCACTTTATTGGCCGATTCTTCTTGCCGGGACAACTTGACGGACAGACTTACCTCAGTTTTCTTGAACAACAGTTGCCTTTGCTGCTTGATGATGTTTCGTTAGTAATAACAAACAATATATCGTCGGTGATACTGCAATATGTCGTATGTCACAAAAATTGCAATTTTTTGTTTATATATCCATTGTAACCAAAATACAGTCCTCTATGCCCCTGCAAAATGTTGTATATGAAATTTGAACAGGTACCCTGATTGTTTACACATACAAATATGTCGTATGTTTTTCTTGACAAAACTGGATACTTCAATATGCCGTATGTCAGAATCATGCTCTCCGTCTATGTCGTAACGCTACACAATTGGATATTTCGATACGTCGTATGTCACTTAAATTATTATACATTTTAGGTTAGCTGCAAGCAGTAACGTGTCAGTAACAACTAAATGTGAGTTTTGTGATAGTTTTTTGAGTTTACATGGTGAGTTTGTTGTTATTTTCTTAATTTAAACTACAAAAACGTTATAGTGTTTGTAGTTTTTAGTCAAGAAATACCATAATTAACAAAAAAAAACAACAATATTATTTTGTATAACCTTAATTTTTTCTGAATAAATATATTATATCAAAACGGCAAGTAAAATTCACGTAGGTTATTTATTCCTTTTCTCTTTAATGATATGATTTATTGTAGTAATTAATCGATTTTTTTGAACACTGTGTGACATACGATATTTTACATTCCAAATTTAGCTTTTATTTAGTATTATTTCTGTTTGTTAAGTATTGACATACAACATATTGCATCTTTGTTTTTTTTTATTTTCAGTGAATCCATAATGTCAAACAGAGCGCGACTGTTGGTGGAACTAGCTCGAAATTCAGCATCTAGTGCAGTAGCCTCTCACCAAGTGCCCAAAGACGATAACATTAACAATTTTGCGACCCAATTGAACGATGCATCAGATCCTCAAAGAACAGAGAGCATGGTTCAAGTGTCAGTTCAAGATCTATTAGGAAATGCAGAATTGGTAGATAATCCAATTTTAACAGTCCTAGAAGAAATCCCAAAAGAAACATCGCATTCCAAAACTGATGAAAAGTTATATTATTTGGAACAAAACACAGATTCTGATAGTGGTATTGTACCAATAATTGACTATCAGGAAGAAGTTGTAGCAGATGAAGAAGAGGTCCATGATGCAACTTCAGATACTGAAAGACATTCAGAACCAGATCCATTTCAGGAAAGTGGCAGCGAGTATCTGCCAACAGATACTGACTCAGAAAATAGTTTAGGAAACGAAAACGTTGAAAACCAAGGAGGTGGAAACCAAGAAGATCGTCGGACACCGGATGGAAGAACAAAAAAACGTAAGAGTAAAGGGCAAAGAGATCCATCGCAATGGAAACGAGCAAAAAATTCGCAAGCGAGACTTAAAGGCCATGCATACATGGGATTTCAGAAAAATACTGGAGGCAAGTACCAGCAAACAGTCTGTAGAGTTCAGCGCAAAGTAAAGCCGTCATGTGGGGGACACAAAAATGACTCTAAGGGACCACAACAAAAATTTGAATGTTTGCAAATTACAAATGAAATGCGTAATCAAATATTTCAATCTTTTTGGGAAATTAGTTCTTGGGAAGGTAAAAAAATTTATGTAAGTAGTCTTGTACTGCACTCTCAGCCCAAACACAGAAGACGAAACACTGCAGAAGAAGAGTCTCGAAAGAAAACAGGGTTTAAATATTATTTAATAACTAAAGATAATCCAGAGTCTACCAAAAAATATCACGTATGCAAGAAAATGTTTTTAGCCACTTTAGGTATTGGAGAAAGATGTGTAAGAGAATGGGTTTTAAACAAATGTTTACCAAATATGGAGCTAGGTATTGAACCGGCTTTAGTAGAGCCACCTCAGGATTCCGAATGCACAAAAAATGTTAATCAATTCTTAGACAGCTTGCCTAAAGTTGAATCGCACTACTGTCGAGCATCCACTAGGAAACTTTATTTGGAACCCACTTGGAATAGTTACAGACATTTGCATCGTGAGTTTATTAACTATTGTGAACGTCAAAACCTAAGACCTTGTTCTTGGAGACTTTTCTATAAAACTTTTAAGACAAGAAATCTTGAAATTTATACACCTCGTAAGGACCAGTGCAACACATGCGTGAATTTAAGTCAAGCAGATTACGATAGTCACGTTGCCAAGAAAGAACAGGCACGGTCAGAAAAAGAGCAAGACAAACAAGAAGCTATCTCATCAGAGGCAGGAAACTCAAAGTATGTCTACACTATGGACTTACAAGCTGTTCTTCTTTGTCCTTTTACCCAAGCCTCCGCCATGTACTATAAACAAAAACTGAAGGTTCACAACCAAACATTTTTTAATCTTAATAACAAAGATGTGTCTTGTTATTTATGGCACGAGGGAAATGGAGGTTTAGACAGCGATGTTTTTGTTTCCATTTTAGTAAAGTTTCTTAATGAAGAGATAGAAAGGCAGAGCCCGAAGGTAATAATCCTATGGAGCGACGGTTGTACCTACCAAAACAGAAATGTGAATTTGTCAAATGGTTTGCTGGAGATAGCCATGGAAAAAAATATTATTATTGAACAAAAGTACCTGGAGGTAGGACATACCCAGATGGAGGTGGATTCAGTCCATAGTGTAATAGAGAGAAAGCTGGGAAGAAGAAATGATATAGCTGTTCCCGCCGATTATAATAAAATTATAAGAGCGGCCAGGCAAAACCCATCCCCTTATAAAGTAGTGTCTCTGCATTTCAACGATTTTTTGCAATACAAAAAAGGAATGTATTCACAAATTCGACCTGGAAGCAAAAAAGGTGATCCCTGTGTTACAGACATTTGTGCATTGCAGTATCTTCCTGAAGGACTAATAAAATACAAAATAAATTTTTCGGATGAATGGCTCGAACTGCCACGTAGACCATGTCGTACTAGAACTTCTTTCTCTCACGAACCTCTATATTTATCTCCTCGCCAAATTGAGGATACAAAATTCATACATCTTCAAGAATTGAAATCTGTCATCGAATCAGATTACCATGGATTTTATGTCAATTTAAAGCACAGCTGCAAGTCTGACCAAGTTTGTTCACATATCAAAAATTAATATATTTTATTCTTTCCTGTTTATTTTAAGTTTACATATTTGTTTAGAATTTTTTGTTTAGTTTTTCATTACGTAAATAAAAAGAATAGAACTGTTAAAAATTATTTTTGTGAGATGTATAATGGATTACAAAATTGTCGTATGTGACATAAATATTTCCATTTTCAATGCAGTATGTCGTATGTAACGGCATTTTGCTTAATATTCCATTGAACAAAAAAATCGAGTTAAGTACTAATACCCTAATAGAAAAATACATAGTAGACAAAAAATAGCAATTTCAAATTTAAAATTGGTCGATAAAAACAGTTTTCTTTCTCTCCTGAAAAATTACCTCTTTTCGACATACGACATATTGCAGTATCACCGACGATATGGTACATGCATGGTGATGCACCAGCGCATTTCAGTTTAGCGGTTCGTAATTATACTAAGTGACATATAAATCCGAACACCCAGTTTAAATGGTTTTATTTTAATAAAATTTTGTATAAGTACTTAATGAAGCATAATAAGTAAATGATAAAAATTTCAAAATGATTGCACTGCTTTAAAGCCCTTTGACCTTTAATAATGTGTGGATGCACCCTGATGTACTACGCATTCTCCAACGCGCGTAGGCATGCTTCTGATCAGGTGGTCAATGTCCTCCTGTGGTATCTCATTCCAGGCAACCACCAACTCCTCTCGAAGTGCTTCTAGAGTCTGAGGAGGACGTTGCAAATTGAGCAATCTCCTACCCATCATATCCCACACGTGCTCAATTGGGGATAAGTCGGGAGATCTTGGTGGCCATGGTAACAATGTGACATCATTATGTTGAAAGAAGTCTATTGTGACTCTTGCAATATGTGGTCGGGCATTATTTTGTTGGAAAGTTGGATCTGCCAGGGTGTCAAGATAGGGTAAAAGATGGGGTTCTAGAACTTCGTGGATATAACGCTGCGCGTTCATGTTACCTCTGATGAAGATTAAAGGTGACCTGGAACCATAAGCTATAGCATCCCAAACCATAACTCCAACAGTGTGATGAACATGTATTTCAACAAAAAACTGTGGATTCCTCCTTTCACCACGTCGCCTTCTAACCCTTACACCGACGTAATCGCCTTGAGTGGTGCAGACAACGGTCACTCTGGGTTCAGGAATGGAACAGTATTGTCTTTAGTGACGAGTCTCGATTTTGTTTAGGCATGCACGATGGTCGTGCCAGGGTTAGAAGGCGACATGTTGCAATAGTCACAATAGACTTCTTTCAACATAATGATGTCACATTTTTACCATGGCCACCAAGATCTCCCGACTTATCCCCAATTGAGCACGTGTGAGATATGATGGGTAGGAGATTGCTCAATTTGCAACGTCCTCCTCAGACTCTAGAAGCACTTCGAGAGGAGTTGGTGGTTGCCTGGAATGAGATACCACATGAGGGCATTGACCACCTGATCAGAATCATGCCTAGGCGCGTTGGAGAATGCGTAGCACATCAGGGTGCATCCACACATTATTAAAGGTCAAAGGGCTTTAAAGCAGTGTAATCATTTTGAAATTTTTATCATTTACTTATTATGCTTCATTAAGTACTTATACAAAATTTTATTAAAATAAAACCATTTAAACTAGGTGTTCGGATTTATGTCACTTAGTATATTTACAAACTGTTTATCCAAATCGTTCCGCGGAGGGCCCCAAGAATGGCCACCAAGGTCCCAGACCCCAACAGTTTAGATTTCTTTTTGTGGGGCTATCTGTGTGTACACAAGTCCCATTAACTTTGTAGAGGAATTAAGAGAAAGAATAGTTGCAGCTTGTGATAGAATAAAAAACACGAGTGCGCAATTCCATGAGCAGGAGTACGGAAGCATGCATACTAAGTGAAGGGGGCGATTTTCAACAATTTTTGTAATCATTCCGTTGATTTTAATGTTATGTTTATGTTGTCCGTTGTTGTTATTCGTTACGCCTCATGCGTTTAATTTTTCCAATTAAATTAATAATAATTTTGCAAGTTAGACAATAGAACGGTTTTTATTTTTTCACTCAAAAATGGCGCATCGAAGGAAAACAATTCAAGAGAAATCATTTATTTTAAATTGAACGGGAAATTCAAAAATAATGTTCATTTGGCAAAAAACCATTGGCGTACAATTTTTTTCTTAAACAATATCGAATTCAATACCCGTACGCATGCCCCTGTTAAAGCTAAAAATTATTTTGAAATTGAAAAATATGCCACTTTATTAACTTTCACTACGTACTAAATATCTGAGGCGGTTCTGAAAATATTAGTTAATTTCCATTTTTTTCCTAAAACTTCAACACCCCGAGTTTTTGTAAGGAAACATTTTTGGACCATAGTTTATAAAGCAAACTAACATTAATTTTTCAGGTAGATTCACACTCTTAAATATTCGCATATCATAAAGGATGTTATAGAGCTTAAGCCAGACCTGTGTCAATATGATACAAATGTGTCATCCTTGACCCAACGCCCTGTCGCTCAAAATATAATTGAATAGAACCCCAAAACTAAAAAAAATTTTAGAGGTTCAAGCTTTCTCACCTGAGTATTTTGTCGTGACCTTTAGAATCCTGAAAGTCAAAACGAGGTTAGGGCAATTTCTTGAATGGAACCCAACTGTTAGTTTGTGCCCTTATTTTTGCTTTATATTTACAAAGATCCTTAAAATTTTGTCTTAAGCCGGATTTTTACGGTGACCTTGACAAGGACATTCCAGGTTAAAGTAATTTGCAACCAAAATTATAGCTAAACGTAAAAGTTACCATTCTCTCTATGCCGGCTTCAAAGATATAGGGTATCATGACAGAAAATTGACATTGATTTGACGATGAATGACCTTGATTCATGTCACGTATTTCCGTTGGTTTGTCGGCCAATCTATAGCGCATCTATAACTATAAAATACCGCTCGGACTTTGATAAAAATTTTACATAAGGCTACTACTATGCAAAGATGAAAAACCTTTGTAGCTTTTGAAAACCGCAGTGGCTAGGGACAAAAAACAAAAAAAAAATAAAATAACTGAAACCTTTTGATCATATTCAGAAACATTTTTACTGATGACAGCGCTGCTTTGGAAGTTCAGAATCAGCCTACTTGACGCCTTTTATATAATGCAATCATGAGTTTACCATCCGCACTATGAGGAAAATGCAGCGCATATTATTGCGTCTACGTGTACATCTGTATAGTCCAAAATCTCTTAATGCCCTTCAATATGATACCGAAAATGTGATTTCCTGTCAGTACAAAGAGCAAATTCCCCACAAATCCAGAAAGTAATTCCAGGAATATATTTGAGTCCTTTATGAAAGTCCCGACCCAGGCTTGCCCCTGAATCAATCGGCTTACTCTGTGCACGAGATAAAAAAGGAGGCGCACAATTTCGCAAAGGTTTCCTAGTCACGGTTCGGAGCATCTCTTTGCAATGAAATCCGTATTTCAGATTTTTAATTTCGAAAATGCTGCCTGCAAATGCTCGGTGGGGTGTCCACGATATATCATGTTCGTTATGACTGAACAATCAGATTGCCTGAGCGCTGGAGATGCCTGCAAAGAAAATTGAAATATGCGGAATATTTACGAGGGGTCTTAGACAATCTACTCTAAAGATAGTCCCAGAAGTAACAATATGTTACTCATAAATTCGAAGTTGCCTTCCAATATAGCTCAGACGCCGTTTGTATTGAAAATGGTGCTGCAAATCGGGGTGTCAGCTTCAGTTTGGAATTTTTGCAGTAACGTTAAAGAACCTGTCTCTGAATTAAAGAGAAAATATGTAGTGATTTTATGCTTATGATGTAGTAAAAAAATGGCGTAAAGTAGGTTAACCACGCAATGCCGTCACTAGTTCATACAGGATTCATGTAAGTGTTATCTAAATCCTCTGAGAAAAAAAAAAGCTACAAACATGTAAAATAGAAAAAGGAAAATTGGAATGATCAAGTCGGTCTAACTGCCTCATAAAATTAGTCCATAGACATTATTTCCCTGCTTTACCGGTAGTTACTGTTCATCTAGCAACGTTGTCCCTTCCAACATCAGTGTGGCATCGCCTACAGCGGCACCGGTTCAGCGAGTAGTCGTTCATTCCGTGTATATATATTTTGTTTTATGCGCTGCAGTAAGAATAGATTAGTCAGCCGGACCGGCATGCCAGGCGGTGAGCTTAGATAGCAGGAGTACGCGGATTGGAAACATGTCTCTGTCATTCTAGTAACAAGTTTTGAAGGCAAATGTACGGGGAATTCTATGATGTTTGGAATATGGGTAATAGATGCATAGAATTATCGAGATTGGGAGCGTATAACATCAAATGTTTTCGTATACCTTAAAAAAACCGTGATATCTTATTTTTCGTGATTACAGTAAGTGTGGGGAGTAAAAGACGCAAGGTCTTTGCAAAAAGTTAAAGCGGAGGAAGCAGAATGAGACAGTTTTAAGTTTTTGAAAATGATTTTGAAAACCGGGTCCCCCGAGAAATTATTCGAATTCCAAAAACTGTATCATCTATTCTGACTGATTGTGCATGCGGATAAGAGGCTAGCACTTAGGCTTAAAAATTGTGTCATATACAGGGTGTCCCAGAAGTCGACGTCAAGCCGAAACCGGGTGATAGGCAAAGTCATAACGCTATCAGAAAAATATTTAAAAAAATTTATGTATGTATTTTGAAAATTATAGGTTTTTGAAAAAAATATAGAAATTTCACACCCTACGGCAGTCTGTCAACTCCTGTTACTACAAATATTAACTTTTTTTGATTTTATTTTTACAATGTAATGATGAATAATTCATCTTCAAACTGGTGTCTCAACCTTACTGCCAACTTTTCTCGTTCAGGAAAAATTGTCACTTATTTCCCAACCAAGTATTCCAAAGTAAAACTTTGCTCAACTTTAACTGGCTGTACTGGAAAAAATGTACTACGAGAGTTTGGCGAGTAACCTTAAAAGTTGGCGCATTTAATAACGATTC